AAGACAAATGACTATCCATAAGGAAAAGTTTTGAAACGATCAGACACATACTGCTTTGATTGAAAGGCTAGTAAACGTCATGGTCCACCGAAACGCATGTCTTTGATGACTACTATAATAGCGCATGGCGCATGCATATCATGCCACCAAATCCTTATGGATATTCATTTGTTTCATATTTTTGGCTTCATCCTGGCACCCGTTATGATCCGTATTGTTTATTAATACGTATATGCTTAGAACAAAACCTCTCTCTCTAATTGTTCCATCGATTGTTTCCAGAACATTCCAGAATCTTCTGTGACGTTATTTGTCACTGCGGCATATATTGAGTGTTCGGAAATATGCTGGTGTATGTAGGAATCATTGAGAGGTTGGAGAGCAATCTGGGATGCGTGATACAGGATGATCGTTGTACTCCTGCCTTCCTGCTGATGTTTCTAAACCTCGGTCATGTTAGCTCCCGGCCGGCCAGCTCCACGCGGCTTGTTTCCACCACGGTCAATCTTTTCCACAGATTTCGATTCACACGTTTATGGTATCTTTTCGGATGTTTGATTACTTTATGATTCATTTTCCACAGGAAAATGGATATAACATGTCGAGCAGTATCGAAGAGGACCGGCACTCTGAACCTTGTAGCTGGCCCTTATACGTCGCAATAATAATAATAATAATAATAATAATGAAGGCTTTTATTGACAGGTATGAGTTTCTAACACTATGGAGCACAACTAATCAGTGGAACAAAAAGAAAAATAGAAAAAATTTAATTCATAGTTCAACCACCCTATGCTAGAATGAAAGCTACCTGTCAAATGGCAGGGTTCAAAAAGTGTCCTAAGACAAGTTTTGCTCTTCCACCCAACCAAGTATACATATTATAACATATACCTATTCACATATACACCTATATAATTAAGTAAGTATATCGTATACAATAACTATACGTGTACTTCTAATCGAATCAGTTTTCGAACTATGTAGCTATGAGTTATTCTAATCAACTATTATTAGATATCAATATCAAGAAGAAATCAACTTAACATGAATAATGAAAAAAAAAAAAAAAAAGAACTAACAATAATACTCATCACCTATCAACTTCCATACAAATTTACTTCGCGCATAAATCATCGAGTTTGCCATTAATAAGGTCTTCCTTAACTCGCTTCTTGAATGAAGTTAGAGGTAAGTGTTTGTATTCTTCAGGAATCCTGTTGTATAGCCAGGGTAAGTAAAATGAATAAGATCCACGAAATAGAGATGTTCGGTACTTTGGAGGGCTGAGTTTCGATTTAAATCTCAAATTCAAATTATGTACATCGGTTCTATAAGCAATTTTATTATATAAGTATGGTGGTTTTTTTGATAATAAAATTTTATGAAAGAGCACTGCTGCGTGTAGGACACGCCTAGCGGACATACTTAACCACCCAATACTTTTCAGATGATGCGACACATGATCTCTTCTTCTTGCTCCTGTGATGAAGCGAATACAAGAATTTTGGAGTTTCTGCAGCCGATATTTATCTTCATTTAGAATCCCGGGACTATAAATAACATCGGCATAGTCAGCATGCGATAACACTAATGAATTGCATAAAGTGATTTTTATATTCCTGCTCAGAACCGTTCTGTTAGCATAGAGGATTTTGAGATTGCTGAATCCTTTTTTAATTATCGAAGATTTTTATATTTCAAGGAATCATCTAGCATGGTTTTTTCTAGCATGGTTTCGACCAAATAGTAAAGCTACTGATTTAGAAGGATTTATTGTGAGGCAATATTTCAGGGACGTAACGGATAGGGAATTCAGATCCTCGTTTATTTGCGTGTAGGCTTCTTCTATGTTATTTTCAGTAAAAGAATGATACATTTGCGTATCATCTGCATAAAAATGCACTGACGAGTATCTTAAAGTTTTGTGAAATTGCGACGTGTATATTATGAATAGGAGTGGACCTAAAATTGACCCTTGAGGTACACCATTCGGGACTATAACATAATTAGATGACTTTTCCTTAATAATCACGCACTGTTGTCTTTCCGATAAGTAGCTTTGTATTAGAGTTGAAGCATTACGAGAAAATCCGAAATAATGTAGGATAGCAATAAGCAGTCTGTGGCTAATTCTGTCAAAGGCCTTAGAGTAATCCAATAAGGTCAAAATCACTAGTTTGTTGCTATCAATTGAAGTCTGAATGTCGTCTGTTACCTTCAGAAGAGAAGTTACACAACTGTGACCTTTGCGAAAGCCAGACTGAAAAGAAGGTAAACAGTTAGAATTACTTACATGTTCTCTGATTTGCAAATTCATAAGTTTTTCTAAAACCTTTGACAAGCCAGACAAAATGCTTATTGGGCGGAGATCTGAAATTTCTTCAGGAGGGTGTTTTTTAGCTAAGGGAAGAACTCGAGATTTCTTCCATATTGTAGGAAATTCACCGGATTGAAGACAATGATTGAATATATGTGAGAGATAAGGAATGATGAATGGACAACAGGATAAAATCATCTTTATACTGATACCATCGGCACCGACTGCATTAGATTTCATTTCAAGTATATGCTTATAAACTTCTTCATCATTAGTGAGCCTGAAAGAAAAATCGGACACATGTTCGAACTTGTTTTGCGAAAAGTATTCTAGTGTATCACTATCAGGATCTGAACTAGATCTCGAAACATTTACAAAAAAGTCATTTATTAGATCAGCATCATTCATATGATCAGGTATCATATTTTCATCTTTTTGTCTTATGCCAAGGTCACGTGCAATCTTCCATAAATTATTCTTATTTATCATGTTCCATGTAAGCTTTTTGTTCTAACTTCAAGGTTCGGTTAGTTAAGTTTCTTAATTCCTTATAGTACGCATAATGGTGAGGAAGATTTGTTCTTCTGAATCTCGTGAGAGCTTTATCTCGCAGAGACATTAGCAGCCTTAGATTATCAGTCAACCAGGGTGCTACTTTTTTTGTGATTCTTGCAGTTTTCAGCGGCGCATGTGTATCAAAAATTTGTAAGATGCCATCACAGAGAATTTGAACTTCTTGATTGACGTCATTGGTTCGAAGTAACTGATTGAATTCTATGTTGAGTAGGTCCAAATGAAAAGCTTCACTGTTGAAATTTTTGAAGCTTCTGAATGTACACAGAAATGGTACAAATTTTACTTTCTTCATTGAGATTTCACAAGAAACAAGTAAATGATCACTGAAGGTGGAACAATCCACAACGTTAGTGTTATGACATTTCAAATTATTCGAGCATATTATCAAATCTAATAATTTGATACTCGATGGTCCAAATCGAGTGGGTTGACTCACTACCTGTTGAAGTTCATATGTTTCGAGAATGTTATTCAAGTGTATGCAAGGTTTATTAGAAGGATCCAAAAAATCAATGTTGATGTCGCCTGTGCAAATTAAATTTTCAAATTGAGGTGTTAAAATTGAGAAAGAATTATCTAACTCTGTAATATATTCATTCAACGGAAAGTTTGGTGGTCTATATGTGACTCCAACTGCATATTTCTGCGCGTTTTGACTGAAGCTGATCCAGAGTTGTTCGGTGTTGTGAATACCTAGGCTAGTTAACATTTTAGCTTTGAAGTTTTGCTTTATATAAATTGCCAAACCTCCCCCACGACCTATAGATCTATCTCGTCTAAATAATGCATATCCTGAAAGAATAATACTTGCATTAACGATATTCTTATTTAACCATGTTTCTGTCACTGTTATACAATCGAATTTTTGATACACTGCTCTCCTAAATTCAAGAAAAGAGCTGGTAAGTGACCTGGTATTTATATGGCATACACTGAAGTTATACATAACAGGTTGAGGTGAATCAGAAGAGAAAGCAAAAAAATGTATAGAAAAATATATGAATGAATGAATGAATGAATGAAGTAGTACCTAGAATTATTGTTGACGAATTCAAGAATTAACTATATAAAAAGGAAAATTCATGTATGTTTATAATACAGAATCATGAAAAATTATATCACATAAAGATGCGGTTACTAAAACAAAACAAAAAACTGACATAATGAGATGAAAAAAATTGTGTATATAGTCTTTATGTCATTTCATTCGTCCAGCTTGATGCCGGCTCTGGCCGTCCATTTTTCAAGTAAGAAAATGATTTTAAATTTCATGTCAAGCCTTGGAGCGGGCCCTCATACGTCGAAATAATGAGACAGAAAAGTTGTCTACATTGTGTTTGTATTCCTTTATTCGTCTAGCTTGATGAAGGCGTTGGACGCCTCATTTTACGAATCAGGTAATCTCTGTAGTCAATACGGCATTCTGATTTTTTTGTCAAAATCCATAAATCACTTCGTATGTCAGTAACGAAGCGGTTTTGGACATTTGTAAATGGCATTTTGCTATCATATTGACAGTCCCTATATCCTCATAACTCTGTATATCCTTTCATTCGTTCTGAAAATAAAAACTTCATTGTGCGGTTTGAAAATGATCGCGCTCCTTACACCTTGGAGATGGTCTTCATGCTGATAGTGATCGCCCACTTTTTTCTCAAGAAAAATATCATATCTCGAGTGGTATAGAAATCATCAATTCAGTATTTGGAATCATGAACCTGGTATGAGAAGACGAAAATAATCAGTCCTGTACTCTTTTTGCCAATTTCAGATATTGTTTCGAGTTTGAGTTCCATCAAAAATTATATTTCAATCAATCTGAGTAATTCAAATTTTATCAATTGAACCACATAGATCGCTCAGTTATATCCATTTTCCTGTGAAAAATGAAACATAAAGTAATCAAACATCCGAAAAGATACCATAAACGTGTGAATCGAAATCTGTGGAAAAGATTGACCGTGGTGGAAAAAAGCCGCGTGGAGCTGGCCGGCCGGGAGCTAACATGACCGAGGTTGTTTCTAAAGCCCCTCTTAGGGGAATATCATTACAATATGAAGAAAAAAATGATGTGCCTTTTCTGAACGACGACATATTTTCGCAGATGTCAGAGGATAGGCCAGCGACCAGACGCCGCTGTTAGCTCGGACCAGTGCCCCACCCCGTGCTACAAACGCACCGACTGCGGCTCGTGCCTCGAGCAAAAAGGCAGATGCGTGTGGTGCGAGGCGACGCAGCAGTGCTTCAGCTTCTCGGTTTACACCAGCGAGTACCAGTTCGGGCTGTGCAGGGAGTGGCTTGACCAGGTGTTTCCGCTGGTGTCGAGGCAGGAAAGCGGATTGGTGTCGATAGCTAGTAAGCCGCAGGAGCAGTGCAAGACTTGTTCGATGCATTCGAATTGCTCGACTTGTCTGGGTGCGCTCAGTTGCGGGTGGTGTTATAATGGGTCCAATCCTATGACAGGTCAGTGGTGTTGCGAAAGTTTTCTATATTTTTGAGAGACAACAATTATTGTCTATTGAGAAACTAGCTTCCAGTCAGAAATAAAATTCTGGTATGAGGAAGTTGATTACAAACAACAATAATAAAATAATGTGACAACAACAGCAACAAAAAAAAATCAAAAAAATCTAAAAATGCTAAATCGATCAAGTCATAAAAATATCCACAGGGACTAATCAGTAGATGGTAAAGTATCAATTTTATCCATTTCATAATAAAATTATGTGTTTTTTTAATTCAATATAAAATTTTGAAATATGTCTGCAATTTTTTATATTATGTGGTAATTTATTGAATTCAGCTAGAGCAGCGGACAATTATAGAAGTAGCAGAATCAAGATGAAATAAGTTTAATTGTCTCGTGTGATGACCATCAATTTCTGAGTTTCTTATCAAAACAAAATTGGATTTCAGATTATTGTTTATGATATTATATGAAACTTTAAGAGATTCTATTTTATATAATTCATCCAATGAATTTTTTTTTGTTATCGCCTACAGTTCATTTGTTTGGATATCAAATGAGAGGCGATACAATACTTTTAGTGATTTCTTATAAAGTGCAGATATTTTTCATTATTCCAAATTTTTTGGGATTTTCTCTCCTCGTTTCTATAAAATAAAAATATGAATATTATTTCAATATACGTGTAGTAAGGACAAATCAGATGATTTGCCCCAAAATGTCACTGCGTTTAAAGAATTTTCCTATCAGAGAGCCTAAAAGAAAAATTCACTAGCTTGTCAGTGACAATTTGTATTGAAAAAATTTTTGGTATATAGAAAAAATATCAAATTTTCACTTATCTTTGGACGTTTCGGGACCGGTTCTGCTCCCGTTTTCAACATAAGAAGAGATTATTTCAATAGCGAAGTCGTATAATGTCTTGAAGCTTTTCAGTTTTCAATGACAATTGGTGACGTTGGCAATCAAATGAGTTACAGGATGTTTTCATTAATTGATCTTGAATTTACCATTTTCATGTTCAGATTTTAGTAGTGAATACCATGTTCTGTCTATATCAACTGAACAAGAAGCAATGTTATTGTCTCCGTTCAGAAGAATGCAAGCAGATTCCTTGATTTTTCTCTTCTGATAGGAAAATTCTTTAAACGCAGTGACATTTTGGGGCAAATCATCTGATTTGTCCTTACTACACGTATATTGAAATAATATTCATATTTTTATTTTATAGAAACGAGGAGAGAAAATCCCAAAAAATTTGGAATAATGAATATACCACCTCCTCGATTAACCTACAGACAGTATTGCAGATATTTTACTGAAATAATTTTTTCAACAAGATCCCCAAACGTTTATCATATAAGTAATAGGACTGAGTATATGAGAATGAAGTACTATGTTTATGACTTCTTCGTCAAGTTTAAGACATCTTCACAATGCTCCAATGATTAGAGATAATTTTTGTATCAGAACCTCTATATGCTTGTCCAATTTCAATTTTTCATCAATCCACTTACCAAGATACTTTATTTGTGTAGTTCTTTTCAATACTTTATGTTTAATCTGGAGATTGAGACTAATATTCTGTGTATATTTCTGATGGAATATTATATATTCAGTTTCATTGGTATTAATTGATTGAATGTTTGAATAAAGCCATTTTTAAAATTTTTTGAAATCGTCAATAATATTTCCTAGAATGATGGGGTTTTTGTTTCTGTATAAAAGTACAGTATTATCTGCATATATAGTATAATTACCTGACAATCCAATTTTAGAAATATTTTGAATATATAATAAATACAAGATGGGCCCTAAAAACAGATCCCTGTGGATTTTAATTCTAATTTCTCCGTAAAGTGTACGAAAAATTATCATGCATATTTTGTAGTTTCTCAATATGCTGAGAATTCACTTCAGAAAAAATTCAAAGAAATTGTTTTAGCTCCTTCATTTTTCTGCTGACGTCATTGATAAACTGTCATGTTCACACAAATCAAATACGCGATTTTGCTAGTGCGACTGCGACGCTGCCGTGTCCATTTATATGTTTGGGTATTGAGAAATTATTTATGTGTATTTACTGCATTGCGACTTTATTTTAATTTTGGCTACTTTATATGGAATGATATTCGTAATTTAATTTTCTAATTAGTCGAAGAGTATAAACCAAATTATTTATGGATGCCTGATGAATATTATTAATGAGGATGAGACTTGAATATACAGGGTGTTTCGAAATTCGACCGACAACGCTTGACAGGTGATAGCCCTCGTGATTTCATAATCACTGAGATAGGGACAGACGGTCTTGAAGTGTTCAGTTCTCGAGATATAGGGCGTTGAAGTTGAGAAATTAAAATAGTTTTTTCTCGATATCTCATGAAAAATTGAATTAAATGCATTCAAATTCGGTATATGGTTTGATCTTCCAATGGTTAATTTTTTGACCAGAAAGACATTCCGAGAATTTTATCCAGAGGTGCGCTACAGAGGGTTGTGATAACTTTTCCGCACATATTTTCTACGCCACTGATGAAATTTCAATTATTTCTAATTTCTCGAATTGATTGTTCAATTATGTTGAAAAAGTGCATCACCTTCAACTAAGCTAAAATGAACAGTTATCGAGATATTTGACCCAAAATAGAAGTTTGCATAGTAATTTTTCATCTTCCTCAGTATTAGAAAATTACGAACATTTTTGTTCTCTCTTTATGCGTGGAATAACTATTTCTGTTCAGCTATAGCATGAGATCTGAATAGTATCTAATCTACTCAACACCAGAAAAAAATTTTTGCAATTTTCTACTACTGAAAATGATGAAATATTACTATGCAATCTTCTATTTTGGGTCGAATATCTCGAAAACTGTTTATTTCAGCTCAGTTGAAGGTGATGCATTTTCTGAACAAAATTGAACAATGAATTCGAGGAATTGGAAATAATCGAAATTCAATCAGTGGCGTAGAAAATATGGAAGGAAAAAATGCCACAACCCCCTGTAGGGCACCACTGGACAAAATGTGCGGAATGGCTTCCAGGTCAAAAAATGGCCCATTCAAAGATGAAACCATATACCGAAGTTGAATGCATTATATTCAATTATTCTTGAGATATTGCGAAACAACTATTTTCATTTCTCAACTTCAACGCCCTGTATCTCGAGAACTGAACACTTGAAGACCGAATGTTCCTATCTCAATGATTATGAAATCACGAGGGCTATCACCTGTCAAACGTTGTCGGTCGAATTTCGAAACACCCTGTATATTTCAATAATATCTAAATTACATCGAGTACTCAAAAGAGTTTCGAAATGAATAGAATCGACATAAAATTCTTGAAGGGATCCTGAATGGATTTGAATTTTTTCCAAGAAATTAGTAAATTATACCTGGCAACCGCGTCAAAAACCAGTTTTACACCAAACCATGCTGATTGCTGCGAATTGATTGATTGAGGTAATGTTTTCATTGTTTATTGTTGTTTACAGTGGTTTGCTTTCCTCTTAATTCACGGTCTAGTATTATGTATGCGCTGTTTTCGTTGTATTCGCACGTGTTGATTGTGATTAGCTCATCAGTTCTCCGATATCACTGATGGTGAGCAACAAGCTTCAAATGCATTTTCATTATTTTTCAATTCAATCATTTTTCACTATATACTAGTAATCATTATGAGTAAGCCTTCTGAACAAGTGAAACTGTTTTTTTTTTCTTCGTTTTCAGCTCGGGCGAGAGTTCGGAGTTGTTCGGATATTTGTATCTGACAGTTATTATAGTTATTATACCCATATCCACACTAGATTCACCGTTTACGTAATAGTTCTCCTTCAAAATATTCCTCAATTGCTCTAGTTCGAAAATATTAATGATTTGAATCATTTCAATTGTCATTATAGATTGCAGAAGCATGATCCTAATCAGTGTGAAACTAATTTGATGAAAATTCGTCCAAAGGAAACTTCCCCATTAGCGGTCCATTATTTTCCTAATGTGTTCTAGCGTTTCAAAATAAAAACAATTTCCAACGACTGATGATAACTGATATTCAATCAAAACAAGGCAAATGGGTATTGAGACAACGAGAATAGTTGTTCTGGTACCAGATATTACAGTTAAAGTGCCAGAAGTGTAGCGACTGGTTCCACATACTCCAGAACAACAACAACAAATATAGTTGTATGTAATCCGTTATTTGTGAAGGTCGTTAATAATGATCATGAATGAAATGGATAGTTGCCTAAGAGCTCATAATTGCGGTTGGTGTTATAATGGGTCCAATCCTATAACATGTTAGTGGTAGGGATACATTATTTATAATTGGCAGTCCATTTTTTCCCAATGGGTTCTAATGTTGAAACATTTTCAAATTCGAAATTGAAACGTTTCTTCTCAGCAAATTAAAGACATATTCTATACATTCGATATAAGTTTATATTTGTCTTTTGTATAGCTTTCACAATAATTCAAAAGGGTTCTGGGCCATTCAGAACTTTGTTTGTTCCTGCTCGGGCAAGTGAGTCTGCCTCTTCATTGCCATCGTACCCTGTACGTGCTGGTAACCATGCTAGAGTCAGTCTGTTCTGACTGCCCAGCTCATTCACGGTTTCTAAACAGTCCCAGACTAGTTTTGAGTCAACTTGCATTGAGTTGACTGCTTTGATTGCCGCCTGGCTATCCGAGTAGATTGCAATGGTTTTCCCTTTAACCCTTAACTACTAATGTTCAAAATATATAACGTTGTCACTAACCATACGTCTCACAGACGGGACTATTTAAATGTCCATATAAATCCAATTGTTTTTATTTTATCTTTGTGAGCTATTCAAACACGTTCTCTACATATTTGGCGAAGAGAAAATGATGTTCAAAATTGAAATAGAAATACAAATTTCAGTGGCGATCTAAATTTCATAAAGGAGTACCTAATGTTCGAAATTTTGACATTGATCTATAGAAATACTAAAATAAAATTGAAATACTAAAATTA